AGTTTAGGTGATTAGCATCTGCTAGGCCTCATCCACTACTTTGAATCTTTAAATTGAACCATTTCACTGTGTGAATTCACTTAGCACTAATTAGCGTGTGTGTGTGTGTGTGTGTGTGTGTGTGTGTGTGTGTGTGTGTGCGCTTTGCACCCCTATCAAAAAAAAACAGGCAGCAGCCAAAATGCTAGCATGGAAGCTTCAAAATGCCAGAAACCAGTGGTAGATGGATACACCCATCTTTTACACTGTGTGGTACCAACTATTACATACTAACTGTTAAAGTAAAATAACAACAATCCCATTAATTATCCACATCCATTCACCACAGTCATTTGGGTGACTTCAGCTGATGGAGGAATCCAAACACTGTGTTGATTCAAGCTGAAGTCCCTCGGCGAGTAATTTGGTAGCACTCCAACAGGAAGCAGTTCAATAATCAGACCACAAAATCATCCTTTCACAGTAGCATGTGATTATATCGCTTTTCAATCACAGCTAGGGCAATCTCTCCATGTTTCTTCATGCAGCTCAGGTTAACGTCACTGTACACTGGGAAAGTCCTGTTCCCACTACTTGTCTCCTGGATCTCCACTGTGTCAAAACAAAAAACAAAAACAGGGACATACTGAGTTCCATTTGAAGTAGGAAGTTAAAATTTCCATTTCCCAGACTTAACTTTTTTCATCTGGAACGCTCAAGTCCGATTTCCAACTCAAAAAATCGAAGCAGTCCCACCAACCCTCAGTTAGCAATCCAAGATGGCGGTTGCAAACATAAAAACACATGCTCTACCTCGCTAAGAGGCAAAACAAATCCTGTTTTTCTTGGTTTTCTGACTCTATTACTGGAACATTCACATGCAGAGAGTGATGTCAAATCCAATATCCAACTTCTGAGGTAAATAGAACACGGCATCATTTTGGGTAAAACACAGAGGAGCATAGAGCTTAGCTAAACCACTCCTTTTCAAAGCACTGTATCCTGGCACATAATGGCAAATAGTATGACCTCAGTTTAGTAAGTTGGGATAAATATTTCAACCAGTAACTCACAGCACGAATATCACACTGAAAGTCTGATGCTATGGGGTGCATGACCCCGTGGGTGTCGAATGTTGCACTCCTGACCTGAGGCATGGACTGTTAGCATGGCCGCTGTGGGATCTTCCACTGAGAACTGCTGTTTTGACGCTGAGTTGTAGCCAAAGACCCAGCACCCATCACCAGTAAAGATCATTGACATGAACGTCAGGTCATTTCACAGAGAGTGATGATTGAGCCACAAGTGCAAGAACCACAGAGCGATCTAAAAGTAGCAGGAGCACTGGAAGCTATCCAGATGTGCAAGAGGACACGACCTCGAAAGGGGAAAA